AATTTTTTTCTCCCTGTGAATTTTTGAAAACGTGAAGTTTAGCTAAAACTGATTATTAATTTTCATTTTCTTTCTCTTCATATGGATGGTACCATTCAAGATATTCTTTATTTTTTCCATTTGCTTATTACTAAAAACCAACAACATTGGAATTTTCAAAATTAAATCAAAATTTGGTTCTTTATAAATTCCCCACAGATTGGGCAATATAAATGATAAATTTAAATGTACAGTGGGTGGACCTTAATTTTTGGCTTCTTGTTTTGGATTCCAGAGCTTCAAAGCACAAACTTGAAGTTACAAGAATTGGTGATGTCAGCCCTAGAGTACATGTCACAGTACCTTTCATGTACCAAGTAACTGCAACACCTGTACTTATGTACATAAGTACTCATCCATAATGTTGATTACCTTTACCTCTTGTTATCTTATCATTATGATTATCTTATCATTGTTATTATCTCATCTTATTTTATTTTATCTTATAATATTTTATCTTATCTTTATTGATTACATATAAGCTTAAATATTATCTTACCTATTAATTACTTATCAATTAAATACCTATCTATTTTATTCATAAAGTAATTATCACTCACCTTTCACTCATTGTTCGTGAAATACCTGTACCACAAGTTGTCCCTGCTCTACATTATTTTCATAGTCAAATAACATTACAAACAAACATGTACAAGTATTGAACATTAATTATTAAGTGTTGATAGAATTAATACATTCAATACATGCACTGATCACAATTATGACTGTATTATTGAAGGATCAGTTAAAGTACACACATCAAGAGCAACTAGTACATTGATCAAATAGTACACAATTATGATGTCACTTACAGATCATGACAAATAATGATCAGTCACTCAATTGATGTGCCAATCATCCTGGCCAAAGCTCCCTTGATTCTGAGCGCTCATTCTTTCCCTCTTTCAATATTCTGGAACTTATAATCTGTGCCCCTTTCACTGATTAATCCTGATAATATTCAGACACCAGTTAAAACATAGTTAACATTTATTTTGATACTTTACACGTAACTCAACTTGAATCAAGTCTACCTTTATTTTTCTTAAGCTACAGTCAACAACTCTACTTATCCACAATATTCATAGCCTTGCTGAATATTCCCATTAACAATATCTACTAATCTTCAACTAATTTTGTTAAAGCTTAATAAGTATTTTTAGCCCTTTCCCTTTTAGGAACCAAAACAGCCCCAGGTGAGTCCTAGTACCCTGGATGCCTATTAATACCAAGTATTGAGCCAGATGACCTGTTGATAGCAAGCCTCTCAGTAAAGACCATAGTGAAACATCCTCATTACAGGACTGGTATTAACACCCACTACCTACCACTCACCACGCTCAAAACACTCAGTCAACTCATAGTAACAATCTTTCTACCAATAAACACTCAGGTTAGTTACCCAGAGGCTGAAAGGTGAAGTGGTGCAGATTAGGTCCCAAAGAATGAATATGAAAATATAAAAACAAAAATTAAAGTTTCAAAATCTGTGAAAAATAAAAAATGAAAATGTTTTTTTCCAAAAGCTCTGATATGAATTACCCCTCATACATGGGGGGGGTTTGGGAGCTGTTCCCTCCTGACCGGAAGAAATCCGGTCATGCACCCATTTACCAGAAGGATACTCTTGCACCTCATTGATTGGAAGGGTTCCTGTTGAGTTTTTCCCCTTCTCTGCCTACTTCCCCCCAAATCACTCCCTCTTTTCCCCACTTTTTCTACCTTTTCCCTTTCTTAAATCATCTTGACCTAGACTGAACTATAGTCAATCATAGCTGTTTTTTGTGTTGAATCTTATGCTCACTTGTAGTTAATTAGAACTCCTTATGGCAATTTTCATGTAACAACTCTAGTCTTATTGATTAATTTCTTTCTTTTTCTAGTTCTTTATTTGATTCATTAAAATCTGATTGTCTAGAATTAACAACTCTATTCATTTGTGATGGAGAGTATGTTTTGTCATGATTAATAGTACTAGCTTTTCTAAAAGAGACTGAGAAGACTTGTCCAGTGTGGTGGCGAGAGCGCGCCTGGACCAAATCTTTGGCCGGTTTGTTTGGGTGCATGCGGAATGCTTGCGGCTGATGCGGAAAGCATGCGGAGCTGACGCTACACACACAGCTGAGGAGAGCGGCGGTGCATTAGTAGAAAGTCTAGCTTTCTGAGGCATGGGAAAGCGGGAAAAGAAGGCCGAATGCACAAGGTTCTGAAAAGCTTGCTGCGGGGAATCCGGGTACTGGCGGACGCTGGGGTTCACGGCCAACTGCGGAATGGGGGTTCAGCGTATACTGCGGAGGGGCTACAAGGAGCGGGGGACACCGAGGGGTGGAAGCTGGCTTCGGAGCGAGCCAGAGGCGGAAGCGGCGGTGAGAGACCTGTCTGAGAGCGGCCGGAGGAGTACCTGGACCTACAGGCGTTGGAGGGGTGACGAGCGGAGTCTGAGGGAGTGACAGCGGAGGATGTGGGAGGCAGGAGGAGTCTTAAGCGTGGGATAACTGGGAAGAGTGAAGTTGGGAGTAGAAGGGGGAAGGGGAAAAGGGGACGGATGACTCGGAAGATATCAGAAAAACAGAGTGACTTAGGAGTGAATCGTGTATTAGCCTAAAGAATTGTTAGATACAGAGAGTTAGAGTATTTACCTACCAAAGATCAATAAAAGAACATTTACTTTAACTACCTACAAGACCATCAAGCAAGTTACCCCGGACAACAAACCGTAGTAAGACGTGTTACGGAGCGGAGAAGTGCAAGAAATATCCTAGGGCACGCCTTACTTTCCACACCGGTTATTTCTTCCATGAACTCTTATTTTTCCTTCTCTCAGTTTTTATTCAAAATCATCTTTTATTCAATTTCTCTAAACCAAATTTTTAACCTTTTGTATTTAGTCTATTTAAAACAGGCTAGCTACGAGAAATACAATTCATTGTTTCTTTCATTCTTTTTCTGCAAACCTTTCCCAAAAAAGGTCCTCCTCTTTTTTGTGCCATTTCCTTCCATCTGCCTGTCTTGAGCTCAAAAATTCAACAGATCCCTTCCAATCAATGGATGGTCATGGACCATATGCCTCAATTTAAAGGGATCACCAGTTGATGTGGGGGCAAGATTTTACTGATTGATACAGGTCTGTCTCAACTTCTTCTTCTTTTTTCACTCTTCATCCTAGTCCTCATGTTTTTGAGTAATCTTTGGACTGCAGGCATCTCATTGGCTTATGGTGGCCTGTTAACCGCACTACTCCTTGACAACAGTCTCTCATAACTCTTCTTGATTGTTGTGGAATGAGCTCAAATCCGTCTTTGCTCTTCAGGAACTGGCCAATAAGAAAAAGCTGGTTGGGTTTCAGCGGATTGTTAATTTGAAGGACTTGGTTCTTCATTGATCTCATCCATACAAAACTTATCTCTTGGTGCAAAGACCTCATTAACCGGAAGAGATTCCTTCCAGTCGATGAGGTGCAAATACCTCATTGATTGTAAGGTATTCCTTCCAATAGATGAGGTGCAAAGGACCTCATCAACTGGAAGGGATTTCTTCCAGTCAATGAGGTGCAAATACCTCATCAATTGGAAGGGATCCCTTGCACTTGATGAGGTGCAAGAGTCTCTGAGGGTGCAAACACCTCATCAATTGGAAGGGATCCCTTCCTATCAATGAGCTGCCAGTCAGGAGGGAACAACTCCCAAACCCCCCATGCATGAGGGTGGTATGGGGAGCTGACTCCCAAAAAATAAAATAATAAAAACAAAACGGGGGACAACTCCCCAAAGCAACCCAAAGATTAGTCAACAACTCCCAATGGATGCCCGCTGATGGTCCTTGGGAGTTGTTGACTAATTTTTGGGAGTCATTTTTCCAAGCCCCTATTTTTTTATTTATATATATATTTATTTATTTTGCGGTTGGATGTCCTGAGGACTGTCCACAGACCGTCCTCTTGAGGTCCCAGAAATTTGGGAGTCAGAGCTAAAATTTCTGGGAGTTGTTTAACTAAGACCGTTAGCAATTCACTCTCAAGTTTTTGACTTTCAAATAGGCCAAGGGGGTGAGCATGGTGTAACAATAAAGTTTTCTAGCTCTTATTACTGTCTTTCCAGGGGGATTACAGACTGTGGGAATGAAGGGAAAGAGAAAATCAAGCTAGCAAACCTCTCTTGACTTTGAGTGAGGTAAGAGCAGCAGTCCTGCCAGAGTCTCTATATATGTAACCCCAAGCTTAAGGCGCCAATTATAAACATCGTTTTGGAAATATTTCCAAAACGTTTTACAAACATTTTGATTTCCAAGATAGTCAGGAATCTGGCAAAAAAACAAAACAAAACGGGTCCAAAGGAGCCCATGGACCTCCTTTGGACACATTTTGAGCTCGATAAATTTTTTTTGTCACAACTACAGGCAAACAGGAGGTGTATTTGACACTTCCATTGAGTGGAACCTCTGTACCATACAGTGGTAGACTAGTACAGCGCACAAAATCTCGACGAGATCAATTTGGAATCAGGTTGGGTGGGTCAGCAACAGGGTCTAGCTGTCTCCCAACTTCCAAGCCAATATTCCTTCTCTCCCCCCCGCTTGTGCCTGGTTTTGATCATTTGTTGTTGTCTTCATTATGGTCAACTTGGGTGAAGATACCAGTGGGGCGAGGCTTTCTGGAGGCAAGTCCAAGCACATTTGATTACCTGTGACTAGGGTTATCGGGGCCACCCCCTGGTGCGCGCCAAAGTGCGCGCACTTTTTCCCAAAAAGGTGGGGTGGCGCGCACCTCTAAGAGCAACTCCAGCGGTCCGGGGGGCAACTCGCATGAGTTCCGCAGGCCGCGACCTCATGTCACAGAGGTCGCGGGTCAGTTCCAGTAATGGACTGGCAGTCCTCCACCCTCGGACCAACCAACCAACCTCCCCAACACGATCGACCACAAACCACCTCCCCAAAACGATTGGCCAACATTCCACTCCACAGCGATGGAGGATCTCCTCCAATGGATGGACGACGACGACGACATCCTTTCGTCCCTCCAAACAACACTTTCACTTATATTGAAGACCAAAGAAAAGAAGAAACGCGGGGGGTCAACACCTGGACGAAGAGAAATCAACCGCAATCGACTTGAAGGACACCAACGTCTTTACGAGGACTATTTCTCCGAGGATGCCATTTATCCCGACTATCTTTTCCGCCGCCGATTCCGAATGCGCAGGAGTCTATTCCTTCGAATCGTCGAAGATATCCAAGAAGCCGACCGTTACTTTGTCCAGAAGCGCGATGCAGCTGGACGATTGGGATTCTTGGCTCTACAAAAAGCAACAGCTGCGATACGAATGCTCGCTTATGGATGTAGTGGAGACTCTGTGGATGAGTACCTCCGTATTAGTGAGTTTCAATCTACATTTTTTCAATATGATGATAAGGAATTAGATTCTGAAGAACTTTCATTCACAGGTGAATCAACCGCAATCGAGAGTTTGAAGAGGTTTTGCCGAGCGATCAATAAAGTCTACCGCGATGAATACTTGAGAAAACCGAATGAAAACGATACTGCTAGACTCCTTGCCGTGGCCGATAAGCGAGGTTTCCCTGGTATGATGGGGTCTCTTGACTGCATGCACTGGTGCTGGAAAATTGCCCAG